TCTTCATAGCTGGAATAGATAAAACATACAACAAGGTATTTCAGAACATGGAAGAATGTGTGATATTCTGCTCACCAGAGAGATAACCACATCTGAGTATGCTTCCTACTCAGTTTAGACTGAAGCCTTCATTTTCTTTTAGATTGACTGAATTTTCAATTTTCTTTGCAAGCCCAATTCTTTCCCAAATTCTCTTGAGGAAATTCTACAGAATTTCTTAGATTTGATCATGATATACACCTAGCTAAAAAGAACGGAATGCACATTTCTTTCTACCTTACATCTATACCTGAAATGAGTTGTCTAAACAGCACATTTGTGGGAGTCATAATTACTGTATGGGTACATCTGAGAAGAAGGTAAATTACTGCAGCTCTCTATTCTGATCATTCAAGGAACAGTAGAGGTCTACAGGACATATCAGTGCCAAAATCCTTTATACTACCTAAAAGACCATTATCAGTCCTGTCCCAACTTCTGATAATAGCAAAAGGCAAAGTTAGGGATTTCTAGCAAGTCTGGTTTGATTGCACAGCAGTTAGCTTTTATAATGTTTCCATATCTAAAATGAAAGAGGGGTTACTCTGCACAGATTTTTCCTATTAGAGCTGTTGTTGGAAGCATGAATCTTAGAAAGATATGAATTGTTCCATTTCTCTGCTTTTTGTAGCCCATTCTCAATTTTCATTCAAAGCCAGCAATTCAAGAATCAGATGTTGATATGGAAATAAAATGGCATTTTATTTTTGATTCAGATTCTGTGTTCGGTCATAGCTGGAATGCTGAAGTATCTCTTCTTGGCCTGCTTTGTCTGGATGTTCTTGGAAGCTGTCAATCTCTACCTCATTGTCAGAAACCTGAAAGTTGCAAATTACAGTGGGGCCAGCAAGTATATGAAGATATCTATGTACCTTTGTGGTTATGGGCTTCCTGTCCTGATCGTAGCCATTTCTGCAGGAATTAATCCTGGAGCCTTTGGAACACTTTATCAGTAAGTGTCAGTATATGGTTAAAAGCTGCTTCTCCTAGTCTGGTGCCACCTAGATGTAAGCTACATGAACACCATTGCTAGTATTACTCAGGGAGCACAACTTTATACTCTGCATTGAAGTGTTTGCATGTTTGTCTAAAGTTCTCCTGGTGATATTTCTTTCTCTTTAGCTGCTGGCTTAACCCAGATTTTATCTGGAGCTTCATGGGACCTGTCTGTGTGATAATTGTGGTGAGCAAATATTGTCTCTCATTCTTTAACAGTAGAAAAATGGAATAATTTCATAACATGTTTTTCTGAGATGAAAAAGAAGAGAAAATAAGAACCTGATATAATGTAGCTAAAATGGGTGCATCCTTCCTTGATCTTTCTATCTTCACAATGTGTTGGAAGATGTTCATAAGAAACCACAGTTTAAGAAAATGCAGAAAAATCTGTTTTTTCTGCCATACAGAGGGAATTCATCAATTCCAACATTTGGAAAAGAGCTGCACTTTTATGCAGGGGGAAGTGTTGCGGAGAGAGAGAAAGGATGAATTGGAGAGAGAAAAAAATAACCCCTTTTGAATCAAGATGCAGAAATTACATTTTTTTCTGTAATCTGTAACTAAAATAGAGGTAGACACCCACTCTCTAAAAACCATTAGCTACCAATGTATATGATATAAATAACTTTTGTTCTCTTTCCTTCAGCTTATGTAGCCTTGGAACATTATCTATTTGCTATTGTTATTATGACTATTTATCTCAGAAGACTTGTTCCTCCTCCCTCCCCAGGTCAACCTAGTGTTTTTCTGTGTTATTCTGAAGAATTTGCATAAAAAACTGGCATCTCTCAATTCAGAGATATCTACTGTCAAAAATACCAGGTAAGATCTATCACAAAGCAGGAAATGTGGAGTTCAGTTCAGTATGATCATTGCAAGTTAAAAAATTCTGTGCAAAATTCTTTTTCATGACAAACCGGAAGATATGGAATTTGTAGTTATATAGGAAGGGCATTGGTGAGCAAATGTAGAAAGACATGTGGTAGTGTAAGGTTCACGGCTACCCAGAAAACTTGAAATCAATCAGGCACCAAGAGAGAGCAGGGTGGCACACCCTTGGAGACAAAACCACAGCCTTTTATAGTATTTTTAAAAGGAAGATATTAGTACCATTATAATAAAGATGAGTTTTACAACCAGTCAAAGAAACTTAAGCAGAATACATTATTCCCCGCCCTTGTT